CCCCTTCTCCCCTCTCCAATCCTTTCGCTTTATTTCCCAGCCTGATCAAAGCTCTCTTTGTGGCACCGGGAAGGTTTCGGCGTTTTCACAGCACTGGGGGCGCACGAAGAACGGGGATCCCCGGATCTCTGCAACCCCCCCGGGGCGGGGGGGAAAGAGGGGGGTGGGTCGGAGCTCCGGGTTTTGCGGGGGGGACGTTGGGGGGCAGCGGCTGCAGCGCGGCTCCGTCGGATCCCTACCGCCCTCTGCCGCCCGCTGCCGCTGCGGGGATTTTCCTCCGAGCGATGAATTCCCCCCCCTCTAAATCTGACCGAACTTTCCCCCTTCTTCAGCTGAACCCCATTCCTCCCTTCGCCCTCTCATCCTCAAACCGTGTCAGAAGGTCGCTCTCTGTCTTTTCTTTTTCTTTCTTTTCTTCTTCTCTTTTCTTTATAGGCTCTCTTAAATCCTGCCGAGGCTGCAACGCCCAGGAGCTGCGCTGCCCTTCGGTGCTGAGCACAGCAACACCGAAGCCGGGCCGCTCCAAACCTCCTCCTCCTGCAGCGCGGATCACAACACCGGCGCTGCCCCCAAGCTCCCAGCAGATCACAAGGGCTGGTAGCAGCACTGCGGGCTGCTTGGGGACCCTGGGTAACGCAGCCACCTCCGGGGTGGGGGTCGATTGATTGGGGTCGATTGATTGGGGTCGATTTCCATGCTGCACTTGGGACAGGGAGCCGCAAACACCCCCATCAAAAGGCGCAGACCCCTCCTGCGGGTATCAGTGCCCTCCCCAAGCGGGGACCACCTCGTGCTCCCGCTGCTCATCTGCTGGCAGCCTTCTTGTGGCTGCCGGCCAGGGAAAAGGATGTTTAGAGGATGAGTAACATCCTTCCTGGCAAGGCTTCTGCCCACTCCTGGAAGCACGCAGGGGGCACCGGGAAGATCAGCCCCGTACCCCAAGAGCATGGGAAGGATGCCAAGAGCGGGAGGCAACCTGGAGCTGAGGGCAGGGCAAACGGACCCAGATGGACCCACTGGCACCGGCACTGGGGGGTGGAGGAGCCGCAGGTGCCAGGGGGGAAGGGAGGGAGGATGCAGCGTGGCAGCGGGAGGCACAGGTTGGGGGAGGCAGCCCAGGGCCGGGAGCCAGAGCCTGGTTCAGCGCTGCCAGAAACGGCTGCTTTTGGAATGGAGATGTCTTGGCTGAGCGTGCGGAGCTGCTGCTGGGAACAGGATGGCTCTCAGAGCAGGTCCCTGGCACTGCTCGCGGGCCAACGCTGCTCGGCTTCAGCCTGGGGCACGGTCTGCCCCAGCACTGCATCCCTAAGGCCTGAGTCACAGAATCACAGAATCACAGAATCACCCGGGTTGGAAGGGACCTCAAGGATCATGTAGTTCCAACCCCCCTGCCTAGCAGGGCCACCAAACACACACATTCAGATCAGGTTGCAAAGTCACTCCTGCAGAGGGCTTTGGATGCCCTGGCCAAGAGGCGGCGCAACGCCCAGGGCTACGGCTCGCCCTTCCCCAAGCCTGAATGCCAAGCGTGGTACCCAGAGCTCCCGACAGCCATTGGGCTTGGTGCAACAGCAAACCTGGAGTGGGGAAACTGAGGCCTGGAAGCTGCTTGAGGCACATAGCCCGTCCACTGCTCCATCCTCCCCGGCACCTGGTGCTGGTGTCTCTGGTTCTGAGGTCCAGTGCATAGACGGTGCCCCGCTGGCATCCCCACTCCTTCCTCAGACTGGGGGGAGGCTGCCTACAGTCCCGGCCCCTCACCACATCCAGACGTGGCTGTGGAGCTCCCTCCCATGGCAGGGTACCAGGAGCTTTGGCTGTGTGCTGAGCCAGAGCCTCAGGCAGGGACGCAGTGAGCTCCCCGCGCTCCAGCCCAGCCCTGCCCTCCACGCTGAGCCGCACACTGCTGCATTGTGGCCCAGCTGGTTTTTCCAGAGATGTATCCAAGGAGCGAAATCAGATCTCAGGGGAAGGGAGCAGGCACGTTCCTGGCTGTGCAGAGCTGTCGAGGCAATGCCAGGAGCTGGGACTGAGCACCACGGCCCTTGGCGACTGCTGCCCTCCAAGCTCCCACCCTGAGGCTGATCACAGATCCAGAGCCAAGTGCCCATGCTGGGCTGTGCTGCGTTTCCCTACTCCTTTACTTGCAAACTGTAGCCAAGATGCCCTGCCCTCCGGCCCTAGCAGCTCCACAGCATTGTTTCGTACTATCAGATAAGGAAGGAGCAGCACAGAGGGCAGGGACAGGAGAAGGGATGTGGCTGAGGGACCAGGGAGGAAAGTTCTCTGATCAACAGAAGAGCAGCAGGCAGAGAGGGAGTTCCCTCCATGCAGGAGGCAGTTTTGGTCAGGGCTTGTCTAGACTGGAGCAACCCACACTGTAAGAGCACCAACAGCGAGCCTGGGGCACATGCAGCGTCTGCTGTGCCCAGGCAGGAGGGACCCAGCTGTGCAACGGGGGACCCTGCTGCTCCTGGGCCCCATCTGCCAGCCCTGCGTGCAGCACACAGCCCCGCTGTGCCGGGGCACAGAGTCTGCCCAGCCTTCCCCATGCCACAAGAGCTCTGCAAGACACAGCGGGACAGCCAGGGAGCTGGGACACGCTGTCCCTGCCTCACATCAGACACAGCTGTGAGCCCCATCCCTGCCCGGCTCCAAGCAGAGCAGCCCCATGCTGGAGGCAAGGGCCGTTGTCCACCCCCACCGCTCCCCTTTTTCAGCACGAGGGCTGCAGGCAGCTCCGCGCCTCCCCCAGCTCCGGCACCCGGAGAAGCAGAAGGAGCTGCAGGCACACAGCGTCACTTTTTCCACATGATTCCAGCCACCTTCCCTTCCCCCTCACTGAGACACTGGGAAGCGCAGAGGCTCCCCTTGGCTCAAGGCAGCGCTGAGGCTGGAGCTGCTGAGCCACAGGTCCCTGCACCAGGAGGAGTCCTGGAACCACCCCCCTTGGAGCACAGCGCCCCGGTGCTCCCTCCAGCCCCGCCATTCCTTGCTCAAAGCCCCAGGGCTCAGCCCTGTGCTCCCCCAGAACTGTGGGCTCTTGCTTTAGTGCCCGTCCCCTCCAGAGCCGCAGCCCTGAGTTCTTCAGCCCCAAGGTCAGGAGCATCCATGGAGCAAGAGAGCAGGCCCGACACAGACATTCTTTCTCGATGATCTAATTTAAAAAACACATTTTTACAAAAACACATCATCATGCAAACGCATGTCGCTTCTCTCCGGGCCCGCAGCTCGCCCGTGCCAGAGGCGGCTGCAGCTCAGAGCCAGGACGGATGCGGCCCATTTCCCACCTTCCCCCAGTGATAAGAGCCCCATGCGCAGCTCCACGTCCCATTCCCCACCCCCCACCCCTTTACCACAGAAGATTTCTCCCTGCCCCAACCGCCCCATAGAGGACACACCGAAGCCACAGCGGCCAAAGGGTTGGAGCAGCCCGGAGCTGCACCAAACGGCTGTTAAAGTTCATCAGGGAACACGGCCGAGCTCTGGGCTGCTTCAATCCTTTCCAAAAAAACTCAAAGCAGTGCTCGCCCAGCAGGCTGCTCTCGTGTTGTGCTGTGAGGGGTCGTGCTCCTAAGGCGGTAGTGTTTGATAAGGCATGGAGCACAGGGATGGGCCTCAGGATAGGCCCGGGAGTGCAGGGATAGACCTTGGAGTGTAGGGATAGGCCTCGGAGGGCAGGGTAGGCCTTGGGATAGGCCTCAGGCTAGGCCTCAGGGTGCACGGATAGGCCTCAGGACAGGCCTTGGGATAGGCCTCAGGATAGGCCTGGGAGTGCAGGGATAGGCCTCAGGGTGCAGGGATAGGCCGTAAGGTGCAGGGACAGGCTTCAGGGTAGGCCTCACAGTGCTGACGTAGGCCCAAGGCCTCCACCTGCCCTGCTCCCAGACTCCGCTGACCCCAGCCCAGGCCCAAGGCCTCTCCCTACCCCACAGATCTCAAAGCCGTGGCGCCGCCGGGATCGGGGAAGGGCAGGGCTGCGGCGCAGTGCAATGAAGCCATTGGTGGGCACCGGGCTCCATGTTTTCCCTCCCCACCCCTCCACTCCCACAGTCCAGGCCCCGTGTGCGGCTCACGGGGCGCCCGCGTAGCTGTAGTGATTGCGGTCGGTGTCGCTCAGGGTTAGCGGCAGGCTGGGTTTGCGCTCCGGGTCCTTCTCATCGCACTGCCGGGGCGGACGGTGCTTGAAGAAGTCAGACACGTAGCGGACCTGAGGGGACAGAGAGGAAGTGGGGCTCAGGTCTGACCCCGTTGCTCCTCCATTCTGCACCAGGTACCGCGGTTGGGTTGGGGGCATCCATGGACACTCACGATGAGGATGGCGATGAGCGCGCCCTGGAGCAGCCCGGCCAGCACATCGCTCCAGTGGTGCTTGTAGTCAGAGACCCGCGTGTAGCCCACGTAGATGGCGAAGGCAAGGAGGAAGAACTGGATGGTGGGACGCAGCAGCCGGGCCCACTTCCCCACCAGCCGGGCTTGCACATAGAGCTACAGAGAGGATAGGGGTGTCACCAAGCACAGGGACAAACACGGTTCTGTCCCAGCATGGTGGGGGCAGAACGCCAGGGCTCCACACAGCACAGCACTCACCGCCAGGAACATCATGCAGTACATCCCAAAGGAGGAGTGCCCGGAGTAGAAGGACAGCCTGCAGGCAAAGGGATGGGCCAGGACATGGCAGGGGACTGCCAACCCCTCACCACCCCTCTGGGGCTGCCCCCAGGGCTCACCTGGATTCGGTGACGTTCCTGCTCTCCCCTCGGCAGACATTTTCCAGCTGCACATAGATGGAGCAGTTCACCTTGGACCAGTCGGGGTTGCAGACCGCCAAGAAGTTGGGCCGGAGGCGGCCGATCATGTATTTGGCCAGGTCGGTCAGGGACTGGCTGATGGCCCCCCCGAAAAGAAAGGTCCCCACCACCTTGTAGAGGGCAGCCAGGTAGTTGTTGTACTCCGACTTGGAGTAGAGGCGTTCTGTGTAGACCAGGTATGCCTCCCCTGAAGAGATCTGCAGGGAGCAAAGGCTGAGAGGTGAGGATCCCAGAAGCCTCCCTGGGGCCTTTCCCCAGCCCTTCAGGGACCCAGCCTCACGGGCTGTGGGTCTCAGCCCCACACATGGGCACTGCAGGGAGCCCACAAAGTTTCCTTACAATGAGAACGGTGCAGGTGATGGTGACCCCAGCCATGAGGCCATGGGTGATGGTGTCTGCCTTGTAGGGGTAGCGGATGGAGTCATCGTTGCAGTAGAAGCCTCGTTTATACGGGGAGTTCACCAGCGTCAGGATGACAAAGGGCAGAGATGCTGCGAAGGAGAGAGACAGAGAGGACTGGGGCACCATCCCAAGGATTCCATGCAGGCACCCAGTGCACACAGTCCCCCTGTCCCTGCTCCCCACTGCTGGGCACAGATCTTGCACCCAGGGCAGCACGCTGGCCCGCAGCTGACAGAGCATTATCAGGGCTCACAACTGCCTGCTGAGCTGAGCGACTGCAGGAGATGGCTGCTTTTGGGCACCCAGGGAACATCCACTGCTCCCCAGCTGCTGCCTGGTGCCAGGACCCACTCCCCACTGCCTGGAGGAGGACAGAGCTCGGGGGAGCAGCACAGGCATCCTGCCAGCCTGTTTTACACCAGAAGGGCCTTCAGGTCCCACACGGTCCAGGTTTGGACAGAGCTGGAGCCCAGAGCCCGTGACCCAGCCTGGCTGGGTCCCCCACCCTGCTCCCCAGTAGCACTGATGCTCAGTTTTACACCCCGTGCACACAGCCCTGACCACGAGCATCTTCCAGCTCCTCCGTGGACGCCATCATCCCACACAAAACATCAGAAGGAGCTCCAGGGGGGCTCTGACATGGGGTCGTGCAGCCACTCCAGCCCCTTGGGGACCCTGGCCGGGGTGACCACGGGCATCTTCGAGCACCTCCCTCCAGGGTGACGCTGGGCACAGCGCAGGGACCGGGGCTGCCTACGGTCCACCTTAAACCCGTGCTCCTTTCCCCGTTCCGCCTTCAGGAAGGCGATTTCCGCCTCCCCATTGTTCCTCCGTCTCCAGGGAAAAAACAAAACACACCTTTGTCCCCGGCAGCCACCCCTGCACCCGCAGCCCCTTCCCCAGGGGGGTCCGGCGCTCCGCTCTCGGCCGAGCAAAAGGGCAGAAACGAAAAGAGAAAGAAATCACAGCGAAGCACCACCCCGCAGCCTCCGGGCCTCCAAAGGCGGCTCTCTCCGAACAGAAGCGAAAGCAGCCAAAAAGAAAAAATGAAAAAGAGCTGCGAGAAGGCCAGGAACACGGCAGGAAGATGGCAGGAACAAGCTGTGACGGCTCCCAGGCTGCGGGAGGAGCCCCGCACGCACGGACGCCTCCGTACAGACTTGAAACCCTTCGTTTGCAGCTCAAATTAGACGCTCTTTTCCTTTATCCCCCCCCTTTTTTTTTTTTCCTTTTTTATTTTTTCCCTTTCCTCCCTGGGTAATTCCATCTTCCAAAAAAGCTCCCCCTAAAAATAAAAGGGGCAGAAAAGGAAAAGGGCACCGAACAACAACAAAAAAACACAAACACACAGGAACCTGCCTCTCTCTCTTTCTCTCTCCCCACCGGTGCTTAGAGCCCAAGAAAGCTCAGGAGGTTGAGGCTGAAATTACGACCCGGGCCTTTATTTTTAGGCCATCCGTCTTAATTAGGTGCTTGAGAGCGGCACTTTTAGAAACGAGCGTCTGGGCGGAGGCTGCCCCGGGGGGGGGGCACGGCGCTCGGGGCCCCGACGGTCACCCATCCCCATCCCCATCCCCGTGCCGGGGTCCGCCTGCGGTCGCCCTCGGTCTGAGCGGCCCCGTCGGCCGGTTCTCGGGGTCTCCCCGTCGGGGGGGGGGGGCTCCGCACGGACCGAACGGCCTCACCGGATCGTATCGCTCCGTCCTGGGGGGGGGCAAAGGCCGAACGTTTCCCCGTCGGGGCATCGCAGGTGCTTCTCGGGGCTCCTAACCCACTGCCACCCAACGGCACGGCCGGCCCCGGTCCGCGTGGACCCCATTTGCCCCCCCCCCACCCCCCCACCCCTCCGCCCCATCGAGGGGGAAGCGGCCCGGCAGCCCCCCAGCGGGCTCTCACCGACCACCACGCAGAGCACGTCGAGCACCACGAAGACCTTCCTGCGTTCCATACCGGCACCGGTTCGGTAACGGCCCAACGGACCGATCCTATGGTTCACATGGCCCGGAACAACGCGGGCCCGACCGGGAGCAAAAGTCCGGGCGGACGGGGCGGGACGGGGCGGCACCGACAGACGGGGCGGGGGGCGGGACGGCGGGGCCGGGGGCAGGTACGGGGCGGAGCCCCCCCTCCGAGCACCGGCTGAGGGGTCCGGAGCGCTTCGGGGACACCGGCGGTGTTAATTGGGCTCCGGAGCGACGGAACGCCGCGTTGTTCCACCGGATGGGGATCCGCCCCCCGCCCCGTGCCGAAGGAATGAGGGAGAAGAAAAACCCCGACAGCCCGGGGGCTGTTTTTCTAATGATAACAATGCAATAAAACAGAAAAATAAAGGGACAAAAAGGAAATTACAGAATCGGGGTGGATGAAGGCAGCCGCAGATGCGGGCGGTGGGGCAGCAGCCTGCAGATGAGCGGCGCTGGGAGCGACGGGCGCCGCGTGGGGCGGCGGGACGAGGCGCTCTTTGCTCCGGAGCTGCGACCCGAACGAGTCGCGGTGTTTTCCCGTCGGAGCAGAACGGCGGCGGGGCCGGGATGTGCCGAACCTGCGGCACCCGGATGGGAGCAAAGGTCGGAGCTGCTGCCCGCGGTGATTCCGCGGAGCTGTTTGTTCCAGGCCTGGCGCTCGGATAGGAACGGAAGGAGACATAAATCACACAGAAAGCGCCCAAGTGATGATGGCTGCTGGGCTTCAGCACGCCGTGAGCGGCCCGGGGAGAACCTCGAGGCTGTGGTTGGAAGCAGAAGGGTTGGAAACCTTCTTGGGCTGCTCCGGGGTTGCAGGAGAGGAGCAGAACTGCTGCCTGGCTTCCTCTGCTCCCAGCCCCTTTCCTTTCCCTTCTCTTTCCCTTCCCTTTTCCTTCCATGCCCTTTACCTTTTTCCTACCCCTTTCCTTTCCACTTCCATTTCCTTTCCCCTTCTCCTTCCCTTTCCCTTTTCCTTTCCCTTCCTCTT